AGATGACAACCTGTTTGTATGCGCTTAATCTCAATCCTATCCTTGGTCAGTGGTGTAAAAATTCAAAATACTGTTCAATTTGGTGCATTTCTCCCATTTATTTAGACTTATGCTTATTTAAACTGCTTTTGATTTATATAATTAATGTTCAAAACAATTATATTGCATCTTTCTACTTATCAATGAAATTAAACATTGTTGAATTTTATGTTTTACTGTACACTTATCTATTCAACATAATTGCATTTAATATATCTACAAATTGGGTCCCATGTATAGTATTTGACTGAACCGTTCATAATTTAACAAATGAGCATAAGCGCAACTGTTTAGTAAGCTTAAATGGCATCGAAATGAAAAAGTCACAATACTTATAAGGGAAAGAATCAACCTGATTGGTGCAAAGTATTATAAACAAAAAACAGCAACCAAAATACTATAACAACTTAAAATATACACATAGCAAATGAATCATATAACATCGCAATGCTACCTTTATTCTTCACCAAACTTACGGATTATCACGTAAAAACCACAGTGTATACAACAATACACTCTTGTGATTTCACTATTTGTAATTATATGTTTCATTACCTGTCAGGGGTAATACTTATACAAGTCATATTTTTTATTACATGAGGATTTAAATACGGTAAACTTGTATGAGTAAATTATTTTAAAGATTGGACATATCTCCCCTTTACCTTCTCTAGAATGTACTTATGCAAGTAAAATGCTGGGGCTAAACATGTTTTTGAGCGCTTTACCCTCCCCTTAACCTGGTACATTGTTGTTACAACACAACATACGAATAAACTGCAAACATTAGTTGTAAAATAACACAGTCACATCCAGTCAGAATGGGGACGTTAAATCCGATCCTTCTGTAGAACAATGATTGTGCATTGATACTCAACTTCCAATTAAATAAAATGGTCGATGTTTTTGGATATTTTGGATTAAATGGCATTGTATTTCATTTCAACATGCACCTCTCTATTACTTTCTAAATAAAGGCAACAGTAGTTTACCGCTGTTCAAATGTCATAAATCGATTGCGAGAAAACAAATCCGGGTTACAAACTAAAACCGAGGGAAACATATCGACTATAAGAGTTATGAATCAGTATGAATCTGGCGGGGTATCGATATGAAAATCGTGATTGAACCGATAATTAATAGGTCTCGAAAATTGTATATTTTTCTGTGTGTTGAAATTTATTGATGTCAGATATTTGAAACATTTTTTGAAAACATGATATTTTCTTGCAATTATGTATGTTGAAAAAACATCGCCACCGGAACGAGACTTAACATAATTCTTCATATGATCAGACTGTTTATTAAATATCTTATCAGTTCAGAAACTGCAGCAGAGAGTGCGGAAAATCTATATTGGCAAGTAAATTTCGATCGCATTTGTCCACAACTTCTTTTGAATCAGTTGGGTCGATATGCGCAATTGATTTACCATAGGCGGTAATGTTAACGTTTTCGTCTGTAGCTCAGTCCATATCGTAACCAAGATATGTATGATGGCTCGTTTCGAAGCTGAGACATTTTCACATATGTGGTTAAATTTTCGGGGTACGAAGTAAGATTATTGTTTCCGTAAATTAGCATACTCCGAAAATCCTTTCGTAATGCGGCCCCTCGTGGTAAACGATCCCTTTGTTCACACAATAAGTTCTTTGAAATTTTAATACTTTTGTTGTGATATTGTAATTATTATGTTTATTTATCTTGGCCTAATTTGTTTTGTGTGGCTTTATAACATGTATAATATGTTTACATAATACTTATAGTTGTTAACAAAATAATGTTATAACTGTGCAGTTTAGAAATCACTGGAACAATCATAGATACTGATGGAATGATTCGAACTTTCTATTTGACTTACATAATTCTGGAATGATCATAATATACGATGCGTAATTTAGGTTTAAATCGTATTCTAGAAGTTTCTGTTCTACACTTTTCTAGGAGTTTTCTTCTACAGTTTTCTAGAAGTTTGCGTGACAACTATATATATACATATACCGGAATTAGAATTTTTTAGACATTAATTAACTTGGATTCACAGAAGTTGTCTGGAGTTGTTGGAGTGACACTGTATTTACGTTAACTACATCATACTAGATTGGACATATTCCGTACAGTTAAGAGAAAAATTCTGGATAAAGAAAAAACAAAGGATCGGACATATAATTTAACAGTTAAGTTAGCATTTCAAGTTGTATAATATTTCTTGTAAACTTGTGTATAATAAATCTTGTTAAATTTTATTATTGATTTGTGTCTTTTGTTGGCTATAAGTTAAAGGTGATTTCTGCCGTAACACTGAATACATTTAATAACTCCATAGTTTTTACACATTTATTCTATGGTCCTCTACTTTCCAAATCAATACAAATAGTTAAGCTCAGTCACTTGTTAAAAATAGAAACATGTCCAATATCACTACCCAGAGATTTTTTGTTTACGCACAACTTTTGAGTTATTCAATTTGAGGCAAATTAGGGATATTGACCCAGTTATCAAGCACTAAAATCTAACTATAACAGAGATTATTTCAGTTTCCCTATTGTTAACCTTCAATTTCTATGTAGCAACAGATGAAACGCGCGCTAAATTAAAAGCCTGGTTTCTCTGATGAGTTGTTTTTGCTACAATGGAATGATAACAATGTGGTGACTGAAACTGTCAAATCTACCATAGATACTAGTTTGAAGTCGTCTATCTAGCTATTTGAGAAACAAAACTGCATGATACATGTATGAGGTGGGGCCTCTTGTTTTGGAATTGACCTGTATTTCAAGTTACTAAGATATATGTAAAACTAAAGATCTTACCAAGATGCATATGTTTAGGGATAGTTTTGTATGAATTTTATTCAAATAAATGCATTAACAAGTACACAATTAATGCCATTTGACTCTTCTTGATATTTACAATATTGATTCACGACATTCGACAAAAATATTATGTGTTGATAAGAAAGTTCACCATTTAGACAATATGATCGTTGATGTATCTGTTGTGGTTCTCCGCAAAGACAGAATTTTCTTGACAGTTTGAAACAGAAACTTGTGCCTACGAATCTAAATTTTGTATAAAACAGCACTGTTTAATGAAACGATAAAATCGATATTTCAATTGGACATGAAGATAAGATGAAATCATATCTGATTGAATCCGCTGGGTTAGTCTACATTCTCATTTTTTTATTAGCGCCATTTATACGTCAAGATAATCATATCGATCTTGGTAAAGAGAAAGGATACCAAGTGAGAATTGGAATTCACATGCCTATAGAAACGACAGTGGCAGAAAAAAAGTTTAAACAAAATACTAGACAGAAAACGCAAGATAGAGCAACATGTACCTGCAAACAAAATGCAGGGTCTGCAGTTGCTGCTCTACTGGTCAATATCTTTTTGAAAATTCATATTAGGTGATTAAGCATATTCTGTTCACAAATGTTTGAAAGACAGTTATTAATTGATGGTAGATAAATAACGGAACTAAAAAAGCAGAAGAAAAATGAAAGGTCCATTTCCTTGTTTTTGAGGTATGAGCCATTGAAAATTTGGCGGGAAATAAGTAGCTCTTATTTTCCCATATATTGAACATAAGCACCCTTTTTCTTTCAAAATCTATGAAAATATGACTAGGAGTTCATTAAATTTTCAAAAGTGGCTTTTTGATCTCTGTCTTATAATATTTGAAAAGAAAAGTAGGTGTTAGCGGGTAAAATTTTTGATAGCTCTACATAGATAATTCTAGAGGATTCCGAATATACCTTATACAAAGTCCAAAACAAGATTAGCGAACATCCTTAAGCAAGATATATGCATATAAAAAGTAAAATATCAAAAACGACGAACTCAAAGGAAAATTCAAAACGAAAAATCCTTTTATCAACGGCAAAATCAAAAGCTCAAATGCATTAAACGAATGGAAAACCACTGTCATATTCCTGACTTGTTATAGGCATTTCCTTAGTTAGAAAATTTTGGATTAACCCTTGATTTACAGCAAGCTAAACCTCTCTTTTGTATGACAGTTGCATAAACATCCATTATATTGAAGTTGGCTATTCTTTTATGAGAAACACAGTTGGACTAATTGGTTTACAATCATGGTATCTTTAGTGAGTTTTTATCAGAACTTGGCCATGGCAAATGCTGGTTGACATTTCGTTCCCTGGTACATCAGCCCAGTAATAAGTAGCACTCTTGTGCTGACAAGAGAAACCAGTTAGTTGTCTCGTTTGAATTGTTTTACATTTGTCATTTTGGGGCCTTTAATATCTGACTATGCGGTTAGGGTTTTCTCATTGTTGAAGGTCGTACGGTGAACTATAGTTGTTCATTTTTGTGTCATTTGGTCTCTTGTTGATTTTTTTTTTGTCTGATTGGCAATCATACCACATCTTCTTATTTTTATATCTATGTTAAAATACGTCTCAGCTCAACTGGAGTATACGAATATGTAGTTCCGGTAAATCAATATGTATTCATACGCTTATAAAATGTATACGCATCATTCTTTCTAATGTTTATATTGAGATTACAGTTAGAAAATTTAATTAGTTTTAATTTATATTGTTGATAAGTTGACAAGTTGATAGGTCGATAAGTTGACATTATAACTATTAAAATGAAATTGTAACAAACAGTTGACTAGTCGACAGGTTGATATTTTTTATTATAGAAATGAAAATACAATTATGGTTGACTAGTTGACAGGTCGACAGGTCGACAGGTTGACGATTTGACAAACTAGATATCATTATCGTTGACAGGTCGACAGTTGACAATTTGATATACATTAAAATACAATTATAATACACAAGTTGACAAGTCAATAGGTCTACAGATTGACAATTTTATAAATTGGAAAAACCAGTTACCAGGTTGACAGGTTGACAGGTTGACAGAACGGTTTTTCTGAAGAAAAAAAAATAATGCAGATAGTAATGTTGTATTTTCTTTTACAGATAGGATATGGACAGATATTTGCTAAATAAGGTAATTCTTATAACTGAAATGATAAAATAATAGTATCTGTATATAGTATGACACGATATCATTGTTGCATTAAAAAAAACATTTATATAGTATTCCGAATTTAAATGTGACTTAACATTTGTTTTATTACAATATAACTTTTATATATCCTTTTTTGATATGTCTCTTCTTTGATTGGTTGTTTTTTATTTTATTTTACGGTAAAATACGAATATTTGTCGTATTTAAACAAAAATTTGTCCCATAAAATCAAAATTGGTTTGACCTACCACTTACTTAAATGTTTTGCCTTGAAATATTCATACCAGTACCGGTCTTTAGAATGTAAACAAATTATTTAAATGTACGGCTAACCATATGAATTGGTACCTTGTCAAATATGTTAGAGTAAATAATTTCATGACTAAGTTGATGGTGAACATGAATGAGTTGTAGAAATATTTTGTATATGTGTATGTGTTTCGCTACTTATACATCCTTGGCTATAAAATATTTGAATTTGATCGTTCCTGGTGAAGGTGAAAAAAGATTTTTACAAAATACCGAATTCCAAGGAAAATTCAAAAAGAGGAAGTCCATCAAACCTGATAAAATGAAACTCTCGACTACATTAAACAACATAACCTATGAAAAACAACTGTCATTTTCCTGACTTTGTACAGGCATTACAGAAAAGCACTTCGGACCAGAAGAATTTATAAGTATTTATTTTCATTTATTTGAAACATTATACGGACCATCATAAAAAAACAGAGCAATTTTAAATTGGTTAGTTTTTTGGAATATTTTAATTTTATTTCAAACAGCCATGCCAAGAACACCGCGATAGGAATCGTTCCTCGGGTGAAATAACCTTTGAAATTTGAACAGAAATCTATTCAATGCAACCTTTTAGTGTTGGGTTAAACTGTTATAGAGCCAATAATGTAAATCATTAAATTAAAGTTATGATTTAAACCGAATGTGACTTATCATCAGACTATAACTTTTCATTAGCAACACACTTTTGGAATATACACTCCTTTCATACCACATGATGTACCTTAACGTTTTTAATGGGTTTCAGGTTGATTTTACCTAATTTTTCTGTCCAGTATTATGTTATATTTTATTTATCAGTGAATGGGTTGTATCTTTTTGATAACGTGTTTGTCTACCATTTTGCCTCAGTACACCTGTTCTAATTACCTATACAACTTTAAAACTCGGTTTCGTTAACATGTCCTGATCATTTATGACTTGGTAATGACTGATGGTTAAGCAAGTGATAGTAAACGAATAGATATAAAGCATTATAACTGACTCTGATATCAACTAAAGTAAAAAGGAAAGTGTATGAAGACAGCAATGCAGCAGTTAATGTGTACCATTTCCGATATCAAGACTTTATTCCGATTTTCGGTGGAGTTCATGTTGTTCAAACTTTAGTTTTCGGTCCAGTGATTTGAAAGCGGATGATTTTGTTTTTAGTGTTTTGTTTTGTATTTTGGCATAATGATGTCTGTCTTGTTGGTTACGATTCGTGCTCCTGTGATGAGTCGTATGTAGAGGATGAACGTCTGACATACTCTATATCATGCCTGGTATCTTTGATGAGATTTTAAAACCACTGACTGTCATTAGTGGTTGACGTTTTGTACCCGAGGGAATAACCAGCCAAGTTGTTAGCTCTTTAGTTTTGAAATATAATATCTGGTACTAATACGTTCATTTTTTGTGAATCAACTTTTTATAAAATGTTGAATTATTCAAAACACAGATGCTAGTTTACCCCTAAGCATAGATTGCTCTAGAAAATAATAAAACAACATGTTATAAATTTCATGCGTCCGAAGCGCTTTTCTTGATTTACCTTAATAAGGAACGCTCAAAGCCAAGAATGTATAATAACCTAAACAGTGAAGAGCTATATGAACAAAAGGACCTAACAACATAGCCACATTTTTCTAATGTAAACTTTGCCTAAGGGAGTCGAAACAATAGTTTTTATAATTTCAAAATTTGTAAATGGACAATTTTAGAAAGGTTTGTTATAAATGATGCCAGTGATTTGACCTTCAATTTGTTTTGATTCATGGGAACTGATGAATCATATATGAACAAAGCACGTGTCTGGGGTACCCCATTATTAGCCTGGTATCTTAGGTTTTGTGTTAAATATTGACGATCAATATGAATACGCCAAGATAGATAGAAACTTAAAGGAAACATATGTAAATAGTACTGATTGTATATTCATCATCAGTGCTACAGAAATTTCTTTAAAAATGAATTGTGTGAGTCATTGTTCGTTTCTGATGTTTTTCGCCAAATACAAATAAGATAATGTTTTCCTTAGGTAGAATATCCTTAATATTTCGAAACGTTTAAAATTAACTAAGCAACATATTTCTAATTATGACTTATCAATGAAAATTCATGTCAAATAAGAAGTGCTGATTGCTGGGCTGGTGATACACTCGGGTGAATGTATGTATGTAGAGATTTTAACCGATATTCTCAAATTTTATTCTGACATGGAATTTATCTGTTAGACATTCCATTAAAAAAAAAACAAAATGACATTATTTCATACAAAATATTTATTGTTAAACCAAACAATACAAACCTAAAATGATTTCATCCATTGAAAATCGAAACAAATTTTCTAGAAAGGAAATATAACTCTAATACTTGATCACGCAGATCTTATTGTCATGATAGCCATTTCCAGCTGTCTTTTGCAATATGTGTCGAATATTAAGCCAAAATAAAAATGTCCGTTCTAGCTGTAATCGTTAGATGGAAAAAGTAAAATTACAAAAATACCGAACTCCGAGGAAATTCTAAACGGAAAGTTCCTAAGCAAATGGCAAAATCTAAAGCTCAAAAACATCAAACGAATTGATAACAAATGTAATATTACTGAATTGGTACAGGCATTTTCTTATGTAGAAAATGGTGGATTAAACTTGGTTTAATAGCTAGCTAAACCTCTCACTTGTATGACAGTCGCAAAAAATTTCATTATATTGACAACGATGTGTGAACAAAACAAACAGACATAAAAGGTAAAAATGTCAAAAATGTAGTTTATAAAAGAGTTGAATATATCAACAGGAAATTCAACACTAATAAGTCATAGAGAAACTGACAACGCCATGGCAAAACAACGACAAAACTACGAAATGAAAAACAAGTCTATAAAAGACTATAAAAGAAAACTAAAGGCTTAGCAACACATACCCCAAGGGAAACCGAGGGGTACATCAGTCAACATTGTGCTATAATCCTAATCACTACAAAAACAAGCAAATATGTCAACAAAGACAAACAAAAAGACATATAGACAAAGCACATTAGCAAAAACGAAAGACAAGAATACAAAAATTTACCATAGCACAACAACACAATGACGGGATGTACAAGTACCGAGCCAAATCAAATAGATACTGCCAAAAATAGGCTAAACAGTAAAAGTAATACATTACAAACACAAATAAAGAATAGCATAACACGTTAGTAAGATGATAAACAACGTCAGTACCTAGAATCTATACTTCAAGACCATCGTGTATTATTTGTGAAGTTGATACGGAATATTTATCAACAAGGTCTTGGTATCTTCCGATGAACTTTGTTAGAAAAAGGACGAGACGTTCTTTGACATACCCACGGTTCATCAACTTTCTGCTCAGACACTGGTGACGTTGTACAACGTCTGAATAGCAGCTGCAAGCTCTTGAATACCGAATGAGTTGGGAAATGCATATCCCATATGCAGGTGAAGTTTGTATATTGCTACTAAGGTGGGGGAAATTGATAATTTCAAAATTAAAATCGTCTCGTTTGTCATAGATTCTGGTACTGAGATGACCGTTTATGTGAAATTCGAGGTTTAAGTCTATAAACGAGGTAGCGGAAGCCGTGTCTGTTGTTTCTTTAATTTCTAGTTTTGGGGGATATTTAATGGAACCCAATCAGAATAGTTTGGATTGTTAATGGAAATACATCATCAATATATCTGAATGTAAAATTAAATGATCTGGCATCTTTGATCTTCTTGTTTTTGACAAGTGTCTGAAGGAACTCCGACTCATATGAAAATAATAATTGAGAATGGAAACGGGGGATGTGTCAAAGAGACAACAACCCGATGAAAGAACACACATTAGCCCAAGGCTACCAATGGGTTTTTAAAGCAGCGAAAAAATTCCCGCACTCGGAGGCGGGCTTCAGTTGGTACATTATCAATAATGCTCACTAGTTCATCGAAATGGACTACACCCTAAACTTCGAAACAAATAAAGATACATACATGTCCACAAGTGTCGTGTTTTAGCTATGCCATTCCTGAGTGATTATTTCTTTTTAACACATATTTGAATGTTTTATAACGAATACGAATTGACCTCTTACTTATTCAGTTAAAAGAGTATTATTTTCTAACTGTCCATTACGTAATGGCCGATTGAACCTGTAATATTCCTACAATGCGCATTATTTCTCTTAATACGTTTATTTGGCTTTATCTGACATGATATCTAATTGTACCTGTTATCAGATGTTAATAAATTAAAACATTGGTCTGCAGATTATTGGTAAGTAGGTAAATTATATCGGCAATTGGTTAATCACCGATATTTATCAGACTAGTCAAAAGAAGGACTTTAAATTGTTTTGACAAGAATTTCTAAGATGATTGTTTTATGTTCACAAATGACTTGACCTATAATGGTTTACTTTTATAAATTGTAACTTGGATGGAGAGTTGTATCATTGGCACTCATACCACATCTTCCTATATCTATTTTTTTAATTTTTCAATGTATTACACATTTGCAACAAGAATTGTGCTACTGTCTTTTGATTCCAATAGTTAATACATGTATCCCAAACGTTCCGTTTTTTGGAAATATACATAATCCATTCTGCCTTGAAGTAAACTATAGTTTTGTCCTTTAAAAAACAATATATGGATAAAAAAGAGGCGAACGATACCAATGGGACATTCAAACTCATAAGTCGAAAACAATCTTACAACGCCATGGCTAAAAAAGAAAAAAAGACTAATAGACAAACAATAGTACACAACACAAACATGGAAAACAAAAGACTGTGCAACACGAACCCCACAAAAACTGGGGTGATCTCAGTTGTTACGGAACAGTAAGCAGATCCTGCTCCACACTTTTCAACCATCGTGTTGCTCATGTTAGTACAAACACTCAAAATAACGAGTTTCCCCAAATATGAAAACTGTAATAATACTGATAATGTCTTAGTGATCAATTAAAAAAAATCAAAGGTTTTATGTGACTCCGACAAATCACTTGATTTTATGAAGATCAACAGCATTACATATCTGATATTCTTAAAAAAAATAATGGAGCGTTCAAACAAAACGTTTAGAGTCTTTCGTTGTTTTTTGTTTATCGCAAATAATACGAAGAATGATTAAATATAACACTTTTTATTTGGATCTTTTTATTTGTATTTAATCCCGTCTTTTTTTATTTCTCTTATACGTCCGTTTCACAAGAAGATAACGGTTTGCTTATTTATCCCAAGTACCTCAAGTCACTATTGGTTTCTGTCGGGGTATGTGTTGCTAAGCCTTTATTTTTCTTTTATAGTGTTTTCTAAACTTGTTTTTCATTTCGTAGTTTTGTCGTTGTTTTGCCATGGCGTTGTCAGTTTCTCTATGACTTATTAGTGTTGAATGTCCTGTTGATATTGTCAACTCTTTTATAAACTACATTTCAGATGCTCAGCCGCCTTTCCATATTATGAACATCGTTAAACTACTGTTGCCTTTATTTGTCAGAGTATACATGAGTTAAACATTAATTACACGCGTTGATATCAGCTTGAATGGAGATTGTGTTTTAAATCATATCGTAGCACTATTGTTGGACGCTGTGTATACTTTAACCATTGGCTTCGGTGCATATGATACAAACTTAAGACTTCTCTTAAACAAATAAAGGTGTATTGATGATGTACGGAGATTGTTAATTAGAAACAAGTTGATTTACAGGCGAATTGATCGTCTTGTTTGAAATGTATGAAATTTGATAGTTATTGCGTGCACATACCTTCTTACTTTTAATCTCTCTAGTGTAGTGAGTAGCAAACTTTTAGGATAAAGTATAGAGATCTATCGAGATGAAAATAAATGCTTTACACTAAGGTTGTCTATCGTTCTAACAAGGTAGACCAGAAAACATACCGGACAATATTGCATTTGTAATTGATACTTTAGTAAAAATACATTATTCCGATTTGATTATACTGGGTAATGGAACATTTAAAATAATTCCGCTGAAACCGGTGCTAGGGGGCCGTCTCAAACTTGCAGTGATGTGAAAACTTTCTTTTGCTCCGTATTGAAGGCATCAGAGTGATTTTGAGATGAAGAACAGCAATAAAAGCGCTATTTCTTTGTTTTTGGTTTGTCGCTTTTTTGTGCTTGTGATGATATTTTATCATGGATGAATACCCCATGTCCCTTGTTTTTCTATTATATATGGGTTTATTCTCTTACAGGATCTCTTTTACGCAGCTGAAGCCGGAGATTTAGAAAAGGTCAGATATTGTCTTGCCGAAGGTGCAAATATAAACAGCCGACACGGCTTGGTGAGGATAATTTCATAGACAGCTTAGTTAATTAAAGAAATTGTATTGCGCGATAACAATATAACAAGCAATAGGCAGAGAACAATGCATGCAAAGAGTATTACCCTTCATTGCTCCCTACAATTCATCTACAATTATAATTCTTTTTAGATTTCGTTGTTCTTTGGATGAAGTGTTGATTGAATATACTAATGGTTATGACTTGCAACAGTCGCTTGTAAGTGTAAATGGTGTATAGATTTTATTAAATTAGGAATAGTCAGATACTTGTTCTTAATGTTTCTCCATTTTTCATGAATCAATATCGACTTAGTTTATCTTTAACATACTAAATTTTCACCTTTCAAAAACGAATATTTAGATTATTCTACTCAATTACCATACGTATTGGTCACCGACAATTGTTTTTTTATATACATATCTTAGTCAATTCCATTATCAAGTACAGCAAACTTTTTGTTGGAGTCTTTCAGATATATTTGTAAGTTTGTTAGATTTTTTAGTCAGTTCTATTATGTGTATAAGTATCTGTGAAGTTTGTCTTACACAGTCTTACTGGATCCAAATTATTGTCACATTAACCTATTATGTATGTTTGGGTTGCTCACTCAATTTTGTCAATATAGTGGAAGTATTAACAGCTGTCATATAAATAGGATGTTTGGCTAGCAATAAAACTTGAGTTAACCCTTCCATTTTCTTAAGAAAATGCCTGTACCAAATCAGATATATGACAGTTGTTTTTTTCTTTGTATTCACTCGTTCCGTTTGGGTGATTGCGTTAGTTTTTTTTTGTTATGGACTTTACCGTTTTTTAGTTTACCTTTAGAGGTCGGTATTTTTTATATACTGTTTTCTATACATATACTGTGTTACATAAAAAAATCATATTTTCTGTAACCGATATTTTTAATGCCTATACATTCCGGGTGCGGGAATTTCTCGCTGCGTTGAAGACCTGTTGGTGACCTTCTGCTGTTGTCTGTTCTATGGTCGGGTTGTTGTCTCTTTGACACATTCCCCATTTCCATTCTCAATTTTATGCTTCTTTATTTTGTGATATTGAGGTATAAAATGTTTGTGTTTATTTAATTTTGAATACTTTGATGTAACACATTTTATGTGAGAGTTTTAGTCTTTTCATAGAATGTACTCTTATGATGGATATATTTTAGTTTAAGTACTTAATTTGAATTGCTACATAGTACATGGTAAAGACTCTTAAGATATGTGTTGTTAATTTGTTTACAATTCTAATCATGGATTGTAATTCTTGTTCTTTTTGGCAATATAAAGGACTTTTAACCATTTATAGCTACATTGTAAACATTAAAGATTATCGTTCCGAGCATACTCGACTTAGTGATCAGTGATATGTAAAACATTTCCACTGACCTGACGGTTTGATTCCTATAACTCTAGAACGACAAACCCAACAATTTCATAATGTACCAAAACCAATGTTAAAGAAAGACAAACAAGAGTGCACCTGCTGATACGTCTAGCTGCTGTATTCATTACGATTAAATTAATAAGTCTAGGCAAAGTTTTACTTCAGGTACCATAAGCAATGATCATTGGTAATGAGGTCAAGGTCTGATCAACACTACCACACTGACTTTTACACCATTTAATGTTCCCATACAAGAAATATAGTTGGCCTACAGCTTATAGTATCAGAGCGGAACAGACGTTTAAAACCAGGAACATTTAGTATTGACCCATGCACCATGAAAATGAGGTCAAGGTGAGATGGACATGCAGCTTTACAATCATAAACAACATATAGCGTACGAACTGTTGCTAGTAATTTCTGAAATAGGCATACACAATTAAAACTAGATATTAACCACTGAACCATGACAAGAAGGTCAAGGTAAGAGGGAACACATAAAGTGATCTATTGCTTACAGTGTATGAGAAACAGAGTTAGCATGCAAACTTAACATAGCACACTCCTGTATATGAAGTCAGTATAGTGTGAACATGCACGAGCATTACGTATCAATTGAGATATGTAAACACCATACGACAGAGCAGAGGGTATGTTACTGCTGAGAAATGGGAAATTGATAATTGGGCCGTTTGTCATAGATTTTAGTGTGAAGTCGTCCATCTGTGTCAATATTGAGGAAAAGATCAAGGTATGAAGCAGTCCTCCTTGTATCAGTAGTATCCTTAATTTCATGTTCACAGGGATATATGAGAAGCAAGTACTGACTGAAATATGGGTTTTTCAGTGATACAACATCATCAATATATCTGAAAGAAAAACTAAAAGAATTTCGAAAGGTGCCTTTTCTTTTTGTCTTTTAGAAGGTTCTGGATGAATCCTGCTTCATACGAGTACAAAAACAAGTCGGCCAGAAGGGGTGCACAATAAGTACCCACTAGAATACCGACTGTCTGTTGAAATATCAATCCTCCAAACTCAACAAATATATTGTCGATTAAAAAGTCCAGCATTTTGATAACATCATCTTCACTGTATTTTCTGATAGAATCAGTGTTGTTCTTCATAAAAAATAAAAATAATTATAACCCAAAACAAGAAATTTATACCTACGATTCCCAATTTTATAGAAAAAGCTCTGTTTAATGAGATGGTGAAGTCGATCTTACAATTGGGCATGGGGAAAAGTGTAAAGCGTAGAAAAATCAAAGATCTTAATGTTGCTGCAAAATTGCAGAGATTGTGATCTAAGATATAGCAGAAGAGCTTTAGAATTTTTGAGAATCCACATCTGATTGACACCGCTGGTTGAATATATCTCATCACAATATTGTTGAAGGTTATCTTTTACTGTAGAAAGAATAGTAGTCAACACTTTAGAAAGATGTTTAGTCGAACATCTTGATGATCCAGCTATGTATCGTACATTATACGGAGTTTTGTGAAGTTTTGGTATCCCGTATGATGATGGCAGATTTTCTTCGTTTTCTTTGATGTTAATACCAGATGAAAGAAGGACAGATTTGTAATTTTGTAACATTTCATCCTTTGTAATGATGATAAAGAATATGTAGGATTACCAGTTGTGCTGTTTATTCCAGGCTCTTTTGTGAGACATTGCAAATAATAATTTTTACATATGAAGACAATTTTATTGGAGGCTTTATCTGCTGGAACAACGACATATTTGTCATGCAAAGAGGATAAAGCATCCACAACCTCCGTTACATAGGACTGTCACAGTAAATTGTCTCGGATCTATTGCGGGTGAAAGAAAATTGTTCAGTTTTTATGCTTACATCGTTTGACCTAAGCTGGGTGCATTATAAGACATTTAAGCAAGTGTCATGGCAATATGATTAAATTCTGACGTTTAATCCACCATTTTTACATAAGGAAATGTCTGTTCAAAGTCAGGAATATGACAGTAGTATTCCATTCGTTTGATGTGTTTGTGATGTTTATTTTGTCATTTGATAAGGGACTGTCCGCTTTGAATTTTCCTTGGAGTTCGGTATTTTTGTTATTTTACATTTTATATATTTTTCCAACAATCAAGTTGGACTTACATTTGAAACAACAATTCCTTAAATTAAGTATAATGAGTTCATTGAAACAGATTCCTCTGTTGATGCATTAGATCTGTAACAATTGTTCATGTCTAATTGTAACAAGCCTGCGTATGCAAAAAAGAGAAGTGAAAGAATCGAAGCGTAGACTCTAATGGAGACTTAATTAACATAAATTATCATTATTCGTACTTTAATATTCGTACATAGTAGTTTACTATACATGGAATGCAACATGACAAATAGCATAACATATGTATATAAAATCATAATTGGAAAAAAAGACGTTTGGTAACTTTAGCCTCATACACGTATGTATATATAAAATGCATACAGAACTTATTTTATATGTTGCAAAGATCAGTGTGTTATTTCTATATGCCATACTAGAATAACACACGCGTATCTTCTAAAAAATGAAGTTAAATATTACTCTGAATGCAAAAAAAAAGGCAACAGTAGTATACCGCTGTTCAATAGTCATAAATCGATTACGCTTAAACAAATCCGGGTTACAAACTTAAACCGAGGGAAACACATCAACTATATTAGGAAACAACGGTACAACAGAAACACTGAACTGCAACAAAAACAAACGCTAACATACATAGATGGTTCATTTTTGAAAGAATATGGAATATATTACAAATAATGCAAATATGTTGTTTCAGTTTAAAATGATTAAATTTTTTATCACGTTGTCTTTTTGTTGAATTTTATTTGCAAATACGTAATTTTGCTTTAAACTTGAGTTATAGTATATGAAGGGTCTTATGTCTAATTTAAAAAAAACTACCTCGGCTAAAATATTTGAATTTGCTGAGGTTGAGTTAAGCAAACTACAGTCAACCAATCAATTTGTCATGTTCTTCCAAGGAGTTATCCGTTTAATAGAACAACAGCAGTGAAGACAGATCTCACCACATGATAATTGTAAAGAATTTGAAGATGGAATAAATGCTAAGATCTCCTAGGAGGTAGTCGGCATTCCTATGGGCACCAACTGTGCGCCTCTCCTTCTTAATTTTTCTAAAATTCATATGAGTCGGAGTTTCTTCAGACTCTTGTAAACAAAAGTAGATCAGACCAGCTATATGTTCTAATTTTAACTACATGTATATTGATGATGTTCTCTCAATTAACAACTCAATTTTGAATCTAATTGGATCACATTATACAAAAGAAGATGTGGTATGATTGCCAATGAGACAACTCTCCACAAGAGACCAAATGACACAGAAATTAACAACTATAGGTCACCGTACGGCCTTCAACAATGAGCAAAGCCCATACCGCACAGTCAGGTATAAAAGGCCCCGAAAAGACAATGTAAAACAATTCAAACAAGAAAACTAACGGCCTATTTTATCTACAGAAAATGAACAAAAAACAAATATGTAACACATAAACAAACTACAACCACTGAATTACAGGCTCCTGACTTTGGACATACAGAATAAGGCGGGGTTAAACATGTTAGCGGGATCCCAACCCTCCCCTAACCTGGGACAGTAGTGTAACAGTACAACATAAGAACGAACTATAAAATCAGTTGAAAGAGGCTTAACTCATCAGATGGATAAAAATAGAAATACTACAAATACAAGTGGACGTGGCTGGGTACTTGTACATCCAAACAACAAAAAAAAAAATAAGTACAGATCTGAGAGTACTCGCAGTTACTGACTGCTAGTTCAAAGCTACTAACAACTAATACAAAAAATCATGCATCTAAGACTAAATTATCAATCCGTACACATCCAACATCCAATGAATTTAGTGTAAAGACGTCATAAACAGTCAGAGAAAAACATGACCTTGTGCAATGCCAAGATACAGGTATCGACAGATTGTAGATCCATGAATGTGTATATGTATATAACAATAATATTTAGTTTGCTTTTAATTTACTGATAACAAAATCAATATTAGTACCAATAAAAACACTATTTAATGATCTAATTACAGTGTTGAATTGGTAACTTTTTAGAATAAGTTTATTTAAAGGATCGATAAGTTTACCAGGATCGTTTCTAAATTTCCGGGCACGGTAAACAATATTGGCGTAAAAATGAGGATGTGCAATCCCGTTTGAAATAAGTTATCTACAGGTGCAACCAAACTTCAAAACCAAATCTTTATATCTGTGGAAGAATTTAGTAAAGGTTTTAAGTAATTTGTGGTAACGAAATCCCTGGCTTAATAATTCACCAGTAATACATAGATTACCTTCGTTAAAATCAAAAAAATTAAATCATAACAGACACGGGCATAGCGAACGAGTTGTGAAATATAAACACCGTAAGATGGTGCCAAAGGAACATCACCATCCAAAAAAGGAAAATTAACAATAGGGAACGAAAAATCGTCCCTTTTGTCGTAAATTTTAGTGTGGAGTTTCCCGTGTAAAACCGAAATATCTAAATCTAGGAAAGGACAGTTGTTACCGTTTAAATTTGATTTATTTAAAGTAAGTTCCTTTGGGTAAATGTCGGCAGTATATTGAGAAAATTCTTGATTATTTAACGACAAAATATTATCAAGATAACGGTAAGTGTTGTTGAATTTTGTATACATTTCTGAATTAGAGATTTCAAAAACCACAGAGACAGTTTCCTGTATCTCATATTTTGATATATACCTCGAATGTGACTACGCTGGTCATCTCAGTACCAGAGTCAATGACATACAAGAAGATTTCGATTTTGAAATTATATATCTTCTTCATTGTAGAATGCTTAGCAGCATTGTATCACATTTACCCGCGTATGGTGTATACATTTCTCAACTTATACGATTTTCAAGAGTTGCAGCTGCTATTCAGACTTTGTAAAACGTCATTGGTGTCTTAGCGAAACATTTATGAGCCATGATCTCAAAAGGTTCCTCGAAACGTACCACGATCTTAAACACAAATATTCAGTGTCAACCTCACAAATAATACAGGATGGTCTTGAGTTATTGATTTCAATGTGTTGACGTTGTGTATCATGTCATTACTTTTGCAGTTTTCTGTTTATTTGTATTCTTACTATTATGTCCCTTATGGTCGTATAACTCCTGACGTGACTATGCATATGTTGATACGGCTTCGTTTTTTTTTACTTTGTGGCTTTCCTGATTGTGCTGGATCTGGAAGGGTGACACGGACGCATGACATTTGAATAGCGTGATTTCATTTTGTTTAACCATGTATTTCTATTTTACTTAAACCATACTGTATCGGGAACGTGTGTATATGTCGCGTTTTTTTATGTTTGATTATAATGTAATACATTTTATAAACTATCATCTACAAACGCTTGTTGTTTGTTGACGTCTTTGATAGATGTATCTGTTTGTTTGTCTGGATTTAACAAAAAATTAGTTATACTGTATATATTTGATGTATGTATACAATATGTGCTGCTGGATCCCAATTATTGTCACGTTAACTAAGTTTGCCTGTTAGGATTGCTCACGCAATATTGTCAATATAATGGAACTATATACAATTGTCATATAAGTGGGAGGTTAAGCGAGCTATAAAACCACATTAACGCCACTGTTTTCTTCGGAAAATGCCTATACCAAGTCAAGATTATGTCAGTTGCTGTCAGTTAATAACGTCGAGAATTTGGTTTGCCAGGTTTTACGGACATTACCTTTTTGATTTTACCGTGGAGTTCGATATTTGGATTAGTAAAATCTCAGTTATCTGTATTGGTATTTGCAAAATACTGCCTTTGTCAGTACTCCATGGAACAATGTGTGCAAGCATAGGTCTGTATTTGTTTGTTAATGCCTGTTAATGGTATAGGTTGGTGGATGTATTGTGCCTATGTTTACGTGCTTGGTTTAATCAATATTTTACACATTTGCAGTCATTAACGGTTTCTATCGTCATATTGTTTTACAATAAGAAAAGGCTGTATAAACGAGTGATCTTGATCACTTCGTCTTTGTATACCTACAGCAGACACGTTTGGTTTCCGGATTCTTTAAAAAACGAATAAATGTAAACATGTAACCTTCATATTTAAGTTGTTTATATTTAAGTAGTATTCAATTAATCATATATGGGATGTACCATTACCTTACAATATATAGTTTAGGTTCGTATATTCCAACGTATGTTTGTATTAGCTTTAGGCACGTTAACATTTCTATTCATTGTATGACTGCGACTTTGTTTTACACATACATATTGTAGCCGTTGAAAATAGAAAAGGAGAACTGACAATAGTCCAATTGTTACAAGGAAATACAAGTTCAATAATTGGCTTTCAAAAATCGGATTTGAGCGTTCTTGATGAAGGAAAATCAAGAAATTCGCTTCGGAAGCATGGAAATTTAGAAAGTATCGCTTACCTTTTTTTCTTACTGTACATAAGGTTTGAAACAAAATTCAAGTTGAAAAAAAAAATGATGTTAAAGTGAATACATAGTCTAATCTTTATGAATATAAGACATGGTAAGATTGTCAATGAGAGAACTTTCCGCTACGATACAAATGTCGTAAATGTTAGCAGATTGTTTGTTTTTGCAATATTATTTTGACAGTTTTAACTATATCTTATCTTATTTCGATTTCCTTGACTGAGACCTCTTTCTCGAAATCTGCCCGTAATGAGATCATTTGTTATACTATGAGTGTGATACAACTTACCATGATATTGTTCGTTTATTTGTTTGTCGGAGTATAAAGCTTCATTCAGTGATATTGATTATGCCATGGCGACCAGTCTTTGTTGGTGAAGGAAGTTGGAATTTAAAGACAGAACATCCGACTTTCTTGAAAACTGGCAATCTTTGTCAATTTAAAAGGAATTCGAATACACATCACCATGAGCATGTTTTATGTACAGAAGTTATTAACTTAATCCATATGAACAGTTTCATCAAAAATGCGATTTATAAAAATGGTTTTGAAATTCATTAATCTCAAATTGTTGGCCAATGCTTTCTTTTGTACTCTAATTATTTGTATGACATATTTTTTTATACCTCTGTAGGATAACACGAACATTGCCATGTTTTTTTTTTAGTATGATGGTACTCCCTTACACGCAGCTGCTGGAGGTGGATTCATCAACATTGTTAAATTGTTATTAGAAAGAGAAGATATAGATCCTAATAAACAAAATGAGGTACGGGATGACGTTTTTATACAGGATTGTCCAACTTTGTTAAATCTACCATGAAAATCAAAGAAGAGGAATACTACAAATAAAAAAAGATAGGGTAAAATAGATTGGTCGGATGGTATAATTGGTAAATCTTTTGAGACATAAAACAAGGAAGAAAAATGATGTTAAAATTACAAATATCCTGATATATATGAAAAAAAAGAAAATGTGATATTATTGCCAATGAGACAACTTTGAACTACGTAACAAATGACGTAGTTGTTAGCAGATTGTCTGTTTCTGCTATTTAATTTTGACAGCTTTTAACATCACATCTTATTTCGATTGCCTTGACTGAGACCTCTTTCTTGAAATCTGTGCGTAATGATACCAACTGTTATACTATAAGTGTGTTACACAAAGGCAACAGTAGTATACCGCTGTTCAATAGTCATAAATCGATTTAACTGAAACAAATCCGGGTCACAAACCAAAACCGAGGGAAACAACGGAACAACATAAACACTGAACTGCTACAAAAGCAAACGCCAACATACATAGAAACGGACTATTTGTCAATAACTGCCATATTCCTGACTTGGTACATGACATTTTAAGAAAATACAACGTACCGTGATATTGTTCGTGTATTTGTTTGTTAGAGTTTAAAGCTTCCTTCAGTGATATTTATTATACCATGGCGACCAGTCTTTGTTGGTGAAGGAAGTTGGAATAAAAAGACAGAACAACCGACTTTCTGGGAAACTGGCAATCTTTTTTAATTTAAAAGGAATTCGAATACATATCACCATGAGCATGTTTTATGTACAGAAGTTATTAACTTAATCCATATGAACAGTTTCATCAAAAATACGATTTATAAAAATGGTTTTAACATTCATTAATCTCGAATTGTTGGCCAATGCTTTCTTTTGTACTCTAATTATTTATATGACATAGTTTTTTTTTGTATACCTCTGTAGGATAACACGAACATTGCCATGTTTTTTTTATTTTAGTATGATGGTACTCCCTTACACGCAGCTGCTGAAGGTGGATTCATCAACATTGTTAAATTGTTATTAGAAAGAGAAGATATAGATCCTAATAAACAAAATGAGGTACGGGATGACGTTTTTATACAGGATTGTCCAACTTTGTTAAATCTACCATGAAAATCAAAGAAGAGGAATACTACAAATAAAAAAAGATAGGGTAAAATAGATTGGTCGGATGGTATAATTGGTAAATCGTTTGAGACATAAAACAAGGAAGAAAAATGATGTTAAAATTACACATATTCTGATATATATGAAAAAAAAGAAAATGTGATATTATTGCCAATGAGACAACTTTGAACTACGTAACAAATGACGTAGATGTTAGCAGATTGTCAATTTCTGCTATATAATTTTGACAGCTTTTAATATCATATCTTATTTCGATTGCCTTGACTGAGACCTCTTTCTTGAAATCTGTGCGTAATGATACCAACTGTTATACTATAAGTGTGATGCATAAAGGCATCAGAAGTATAGCGCTGTTCAATAGTCATAAATCGATTTAACTGAAACAAATCCGGGTCACAAACCAAACCCGAGGGAAACAACGGAACAACAAAAACACTGAACTGCTACAAAAGCAAACGCCAACATACATAGAAACGGACTATTTGATAATAACTGCCATATTCCTGACCAGGTACATGACATCTTAAGAAAATACAACGTGCCATGATGTTGTTCGTGTATTTGTTTGTTGGAGTATAAAGCTTCGTTCGGTGACATTGGTTATACCATGACGACCAGTTTTTGTTGGTGAAGGAAATTGGAATAAACACACAGAACATTTAATCTACATTTACAGTTACATCGTAATTGCAATGACAGTGCAACCTTTTTATTTTAGTATAGTGGTGATACTCCTTTACACTTAGCTGTTAATGGTGGAAATCCAGACATAGTGCAATTGTTATTAGAAAGAGCAGATATAGATCCAAATAAAGTAAATGGGGTACGATGACTGTTTGTACATAATCGTCCAACTTTGTTAAATCTTTCACCAACATCAATGTCAACATAATGCTGCTCTTTAAATCTATACAAATCACCGCAAAATACTTTAATCTTCAGAGTAAAAAAGTCGTTAAGTATCCAAAATATTCAATATGCCTAGACATGCTTACAACCAAATCATTGAGGTTGTATAGGAATCAAAGATAATCAATTAATTATGATTCGTTCTCTTAGCTTTAGTTTATAATGTATTCCAATTGCGCAGATAAATTAAAACAAGGCATGTATATACAGCCACTAATTAGTCTGAAAATGGGAATCCTCAAAGCCTGTACATGTAGTTTTATCATGATAATTGCAAAAAAAAAAAAAAACGATTTACACAGTTAATTAAATTCATCAACAAGATATGATTCCAATCATAATACATTCCATTTTTGTTCGTATCATATAAAACAGCATAGATTAATCTTCTGTGTTTTTATGATTGACCAAGTCTAATTAAAATCAAGCAATTTTGCTTAATATATTTTTAAATAAAAAGATTTAACCCATTAACCAATGATATATATATGTCAAAGTGTTCTATTTATCGAATGTTTGACCTTAATTGTTATTGCTTTCCAGAAAATGAAATATGTTAGTCTGATGAGGTGATTTATTGTTTTACATCTTGAAAATTTCATTTACATTACACAATTTTCCTTAATTCACATACTGAACTACTGCTAATTAATATCATAAAATCTAAATCTTATAAGGAAGGTTCTTTCTAAATGTCATTTTACATCCATCATTTTTAGTCATGTGATGTTGTCGTTTAAGTGTTGTGTTTGACGTTGCCATAAAAGCGAGTGTTTGTCATGCCACAAAACCAGGTTCAACCCACCATTGTTTTCTTAAAATGTCCTGTACCAAGTCAGGAAAATGGCCATTGTTATATTATAGTTCGTTTCTGTGTGTGTTACATTTTAATGTTGTGTTTTTGTTGTGTCGTTGTTCTCCTCTTATATTTGATGCGTTTCCTCAGTTTTAGTTTGTAACCCGGATTTGTTTTTTTTTTATCTCTATCGATTTATGAGTTTCGAACAGCGGTATACTACTGTTGCCTTTATTTAGAATAAAAATTAGAATTCATTCTATGATGTATAATCAAATGCTTTTTACATCTCATTAGATTAGATTTTATGATATTTTTAGACTGATACCTTAGACTTTATTTAACGTCAGCAGCAAGTTGATGAACTAGGGTTATGTTAAATAACGTCTCGTCTCTTTTAAAAAAAAAATCACCAGAAGATAACAAGACCTTGATGACAAATATTTCGTATCAACTTCACAAATGATACATGATGGTCTTGAAGTATAGAATTTAGGTACTGACGTTATCTATCATCTTAATTACGTGTTATATTGTTGAATGACTATTTTACTGCCTAGATATGTTTTTTTTGGGATAGAAATCCTTCAATTATTCTCTGAACAATTTGTTTTTAATGATTTTGTTCTTGCGCAGTATTGTTGTTTCAAAAGTTATGGCTTAGATATTTGGTATATAATATCGAACAGTTTATACGTTTTTAAATCTGACACTGTTTAACAGAACCCTTTACTTTGTAAGAGTTATTTCCCCGAACACTGTTTTTTTTTGTTCGGACTTCGCCTTCGCAACCGTAAAATATTATGACAAATTTATTTTACCATATTGCTCGTTATATCCTAAGGGTGTGGAGAATATTTGTGACCGTAGAAATCCGGAGACTCCATATGAGAGTTATTTCCCCTTATGCATTTGATATATATAAAGATAAGTAAGGAAGTGAGTAAGAAAGTAAGTAAATGTTATTTCAAGTCGGCATATATCATGTATATATAAATACTAACAGATAAAACAGGAGCTCTGGTGAGCTCTTTATCCGACTATCATATACAAATCTTAGAGCTTCATGCAAATACTAATAAATACAAAACAACTACAAATATAATGAAAGCAAATTAATTTTGATTTCTGAATCTCCTCGGTCAATTCTCATGCGTCAAACACTTCTATGTGCATTGAATGAGGGAACCAGAAATCAATTACATATCATTAAATACTATAAAAATAAAAACCATAAATAAATTAAGCACTGCCATTTAATAGCAGCTATATACTAGTGCATAAAAAAGCAAGGCAAAAGGCCAGAAAGGAAAAAAAAAAAAAGAAAAGAAAGAAATTTTAGCTATGAGGCAGCACTGGATGGAAACGGTATGAACTGCAGTTGCATTTTTGACCCCACACCAGCAATTTATATAATTCCTAAATAGGTAAAAAGAAAACATAGTTGTAGCCTCATTGGGAAGGCATTCCATACTTGTGCTGCCTCAAATCTAAAAGATATTTTACCATAACTTGAGATTCTAGATCTAGGTACCTTAGCAGTGTTCACATACCTGAAATTATTTGAATTGTTTTTTTTTACAACAACTAGATCTTGAAAAGACATTTTTTATTAATTATTTGAAAGATCTCCAAGGCATTAGAGCGTATTCTACTAGTGTTTAGTGATGGAAGGTTTGACATCTGCAGTAGTGTTTCGTACGAGTTCTGAGGGTCTTCATAAATAAAACAAAGCGATGGCTCTTTTATTTTTTCTATTTTTATTGTATTTTGTTCCCAAAAGAAATGCCAAGTCAAAGGGCAGTAACTAAAGTTTGACATAACGAATGAGTAATAAATTCTTATTTTACTCAGTTTGTTTAGGTGTTTCCAAATTCTTTTCAAAACGTTTAATTGCCTTGCAGCCTTTTTACAAATATTTGAAATATGTAAATAGAAGTTCAATTTTAAATCAATTGTAACTCCAAGTAGTTTTACCTCATCCTCACATGATATAGAAATACCATTCAAATCACACACAAGCGTGTTATCATGTGTGTTTTTGCCAATAGTGATAACTTGAAATGTCTCTAGGTTGGCCTGCATTTTATTTGAAGAAACCCACTGTATTAAATAATTGCTGTCTTCCTCAAGTGCAGAAATTATATCTTGTAAGGAATTTTCAAACTTTAAGAAAGTATTGTCATCAGCATAAGTATATAAAGAACATTTTTTTACAAAAAAGAACAAATCACTTATAAAAATATTTAATAGGATGGGTCCAAGGATGGAACCTTTTGGTACCCCTTTAAATATGTCAAGCATACCACTTAAATTTTCGTTTAATTTCACACACTGTTTTCCTTTTGTTAAATAACTATATAACATATCAAGTGATGATTTTGAAACACCATAAGCTTTTAGTTTCAGTAGCAGTAAGTCACGGGGGTGACAGTCGAAAGCTTTTGACAAGTCCATCAGCATAGCTGCAAAGTATTTATTTTGGTCTAGGGCTAATTTCCAATCTCCAATCACTCTTATTAAAGTTGACTGAAATCCAAATCCTGATCTAAAAGCTGCCAAAAATGGATTGAAGATATTATTAAAGTACTGTACTAATTGTACTTCTATGGCATTTTCTAAAATTTGAGAAATGGCCGGTAACATACTTTCCAGTCTATACTTTCCTTTTTCTAATACACTATTCTTTTTGTAAATAGGTGCAACTTGAGCTTCATAAAGATGCTCAGGGAATGTTGGTGACGATAATGATAAATTAACTATATCTGTAAGAGGTTTTACAATAGCAGGTTTAGCAAAATGTAGTAATTTGGGTGACATACCATCTATTCCAGTGGCTTTTTTAACATTAATTATATGTACACGTTCTTCAACAAAGTCTTGATCAATAGGGGAACAGGTAAAACTGTTTTTGTTAAGATCGTAAAGATTATCTTTAATGGTCAAAATATTCGGGTGAACATCATCATCCTTCATTTGATTGCTTCCATTAATCTTAGCAGCATTGTATCACGTTTACCCGCGTATGGTGTATACATTTCTCAACTTATACGATTTTCAAGAGTTGCAGCTGCTATTCAGACTTTGTAAAACGTCATTGGTGTCTTAGCGAAACATTTATGAGCCATGATCTCAAAAAGTTTCTCGAAACGTACCACGATCTTAAACACAAATATTCAGTGTCAACCTCACAAATAATACAAGATGGTCTTGAGTTATTGATTTCATGTGTTGACGTTGTGTATCATGTCATTACTTTTGCAGTTTTCTGTTTATTTGTATTCTTACTATTATGTCCCTTATGGTAGTATAACTCCTGACGTGACTATGTATATGTTGATACGGCTTTCGTGTTTTTGACTTTGTGGCTTTCCTGATTGTGCTGGATATAGAAGGGAGACTCGGACGCATGACATTTGTATAGCGTGATTTCATTTTGTTTAACCTTGTATTTCTATTTTACTTCAACCATACTGTATCGGGAACGTGTGTATATGTCGCGTTTTTTTATGTTTGATTATAATGTACTACATTTTATAAACTATCATCTACAAACGTCTTTGATAGATGTATCTGTTTGTTTGCCTGGATTTAACACAAAAATTAGTTATACTGTATATATTTGATGTATGTATGCATTATGTGATGCTGGATCCCAATTATTGTCACGTTAACCAATTTTACCTGTTTGGATTGCTCACGCAATATTGTCATAATAATGGAACTATATACAATTGTCATATAAGTGGGAGGTTAAGCGAGCTATAAAACCACATTAACGCCACTGTTTTCTTCGGAAAATGCCTATACCAAGTCAAGAATATGTCAGTTAATAACGTCGAGAATTTGGTTTTGTCAGTTTTTACGGACATTACCTTTTTGATTTTACCGTGGAGTTCGATAATTGGATTAGTACATTCTTTGTATCTATTAATCATAAAGCATGATTTCATGGACACTAAAGATCTCAGTTATCTGTATTGGTATTTTCAAATTACTGCCTATGTCAGTACTCCATGGAACAATGTGTGCAAGCATAGGTCTGTAATTGTTTGTTAATGCCTGGTAATGGTATAGGTTGGTGGATGTCTTGTGCCTATGTTTACGTGATTGGTTTAATCAATATTTTACACATCTGCAGTCATTAACGGTTTCTATCGTCATATTGTTTTACAATAAGAAAATGCTGTATAAACGAGTGATCTTGATCACTTCGTCTTTGTACACCTACAGCAGACACGTTTTGGTTTCCGGATTCTTTAAAAACGAATAAATGTAAACATGTAACCTTCATATTTAAGTTGTTTATATTTAAGTAGTATTTAATTAATCATATATGGGATGTACCATTACCTTACAATATATAGTTTAGGTTCGTATATTCAAACGTATGTTCGTATTAGCTTTAGACACGTTAACATTTCTATTAATTGTATGGCTGCGACTTTGTTTTACACAAACATATTGTAGCCGTTGAAAATAGAAAAGGAGAACTGACATTAGTCCAATTGTTACAAGCAAATACAAGTTCAATAATTGGCTTTCAAAAATCGGATTTGAGCGTTCTTGATGAAGGAAAATCAAGAAATTCGCTTCGGACGCATGGAAATTTAGAAAGTATCGCTTTCCTTTTTTTCTTACTGTACATTAGGTTTGAAACAAAAGTCAAGTTAAAAAAAGAAAAATGATGTTAAAGTGAATACATAGTCTAATCTTTATGAATATAAGACATGGTAAGATTGTCAATGAGAGAACTTTCCGCTACGTTACAAATGTCGTAGATGTTAGCAGATTGTTTGTTTTTGCAATATTATTTTGACATTTTTAACTATATCTTATCTTATTTCGATTGCCTTGACTGAGACCTCTTTCTCGAAATCTGCCCGTAATGAGATCATTTGTTATACTATGAGTGTGATAAAACTTACCATGATATTGTTCGTTTATTTGTTTGTTAGAGTATTAAGCTTCATTCAGTGATATTAATCATACCATGGCTACCAGTCTTTGTTGGTGAAGGAAGTTGGAATTAAAAGACAGAACAACCGACTTTCTGGAAAACTGGCAATCTTTGTCAATTTAAAAGGAATTCGAATACACATCACCATGAGCATGTTTTATGTACATAAGTTATTAACTTAATCCATATGAACAGTTTCATAAAATATGCGATTTATAAAAATGGTTTTGAAATTCATTAATCTCAAATTGTTGGCCAATGCTTTCTTTTGTACTCTAATTATTTGTATGACATATTTTTTTATACCTCTGTAGGATAATACGAACATTGCCATGTTTTTTATTTTTAGTATGATGGTACTCCCTTACACGCAGCTGCTGAAGGTGGATTCATCAACATTGTTAAATTGTTATTAGAAAGAGTAGATATAGATCCTAATAAACAAAATGAGGTACGGGATGACGTTTTTATACAGGATTGTCCAACTTTGTTAAATCTACCATGAAAATCAAAGAAGAGGAATACTACAAATAAAAAAAGATAGGGTGAGATAGATTGGTCGGATGGTATAATTGGTAAATCTTTTGAGACATAAAACAAGGAAGAAAAATGATGTTAAAATTACACATATCCTGATATATATGGAAAAAAAGAAAATGTGATATTATTGCCAATGAGACAACTTTGAACTACGTAACAAATGACGTAGATGTTAGCAGATTGTCAATTTCTGCTATATAATTTTGACAGCTTTTACCATCATATCTTATTCCGATTGCCTTGACTGAGACCTCTTTCTTGAAATCTGTGCGTAATGATCCCAACTGTTACACTATAAGTGTGATGCATAAAGGCATCAGAAGTATAGCGCTGTTCAATAGTCATAAATCGATTTAACTGAAACAAATCCGGGTCACAAACCAAAACCGAGGGAAACAACGGAACAACAAAAACACTGAACTGCTACAAAAGCAAACGCCAACATACATATAAACGAACTATTTGATAATAACTGCCATATTCCTGACCAGGTACATGACATCTTAAGAAAATACAACGTGCCATGATGTTGTTCGTGTATTTGTTTGTTAGAGTATAAAGCTTCGTTCGGTGACATTGGTTATACCATGACGACTAGATTTTGTTGGTGAAGGAAATTGGAATAAACACACAGAACATCCGACTTTCTTGAAAACTGGCAATCTTTGTCAATTTAAAAGGAATTCGAATACACATCACCATGAGCATGTTTTATGTACACAAGTTATTAACTTAATCATTATGTACAGTTTCATCAAAAATGCGATTGATAAAAACGGTTTTGAAATTCATTAATCTCGAAATGTTGGCCAATGCTTTTTTTGTACTCTAATTATGTGAATGACATAGTTTTTATATACCTCTGCAGGATAATACGAACATTGCAAACTTTGTATTTCAGTATTATGATACTCCCTTACACGCAGCTGCTAGTGGTGGGTCCATCAACATAGTTAAATTGTTATTAGAAAGAGAAGATACAGACCCAAATAAAGAAAATGAGGTACGATGACTGTTTGTACATAATTATCCAACTTTGTTAAATCTTTCAATAAAATCAATGTCAACATAATGCTGCCCTTTAAATCTATACATATCGCCGCAAAATACTTTAATCTTCAGAGTGAAAAAGTCGTTATGTATCAAAAATATTCGATATGCCAAGACATACTTACAACCAAATCATTGAGATTGTATAGGAATCAAAGATAATCAATTAATTATGATTCGTTTTCATAGCTTTAGTTTATTTTGTATTCCAATTGTGCAGATAAATTAAAACAAGGCTTTATCATTCATGAACGCATGTATATACAGCCACTAATTAGTGTGAAAATGGGACTCATCAAAGACTGTAGATGTAGTATTATTGCAAAAAAAAATGTACACTGTTAATTAAATTCACAAACAAAAGGTTTTGAAATTCATTAATCTTGAAATGTTGGCCAATGCTTTTTTTTGTACTCTAATTATTAGTATGACATAGTTTGTTATACCTCTGTAGGATAATACGAACATTGCAAGCGTTTTATTTCAGTTTAATGGAACTCCCTTACACGCAGCGGCTAAAGGTGGATTCATCAACATAGTTAAATTGTTATTAGAAAGAGAAGATACAGACCCAAATAAAGAAAACATGGTACGGGATGACGTTCTTTAAAGTATTGTCCAACTTTGTTACTTCTTCCATCAAAATCAAAGAAGAGGAGTAATTTTAATTAGATTGGAATCGAATAAAAAGAAAGAAAAATGATGTTAAAATTACAAATATCCTGATACATATTAAAAAAGTAAATGTGATAGTCAGTGAGACAACTTTTAACTACGTCACAAATGACGTAGATGTTAGCAGCTTCTCTGTTTCTGCTATATAATGTTGACAGCTTTACCTATAACATAGCATATTTTATATTTTGATTGCCGTCACTGAGACCTCTTTCTTAAAATCTGCTCGTAATGAGATCATTTGTTATAATATGAGTTCGATACAACTTCCCATGATAATGTTCGTTTAATTGTTTGTTGAGTTTGATGCCACATACAGTAATTACGGCTATACCAAGGCGACCAGTTTTTGTTGGAGGAGGAAGAGGAAATAAACACACAGAACAACTGCACTTGTGGAAAACAGGCAACCTTTGTCAATGTAAATGGGATTCGGCTACACATCACCATGAACATGTTTTATGTACACACATTATTAATTTAATCTACATTTACAGTTACATCGTAATTGCGATGACAGTGCAACCTTTTTATTTTAGTATAGTGGTGATACTCCTTTACACTCAGCTGTAAATGGTGGACATCCCGACATAGTGCAATTGTTATTAGAAAGAGCAGATATAGATCCAAATAAAGAAAATGTGGTACGATGACTGTTTGTACATAATTGGCCAACTTTGTTAAATCTTTCACCAAAATCAATGTCAACATAATGTTGCTCTTTAAATCTATACACATCACCACAAAATACTTTAATCTTCAGAGTGAAAAAGTCGTTAAGTATCCAAAATATTACATTCTTACAACGAAATCATTGAGGTTGTATAGGAATCAAAGATAATCAATTAATTATGATTCGTTCTCTTAGCTTTAGTTTATAATGTATTCCAATTGCGCAGATACATTAAAACAAGGCATGTATATACAGCCACTAATTAGTCTGAAAATGGGAATCCTCAAAGCCTGTAGATGTAGTATTATCATGATTATTGCAAAAAAAAAAAAAGATTTACACAGTTAATTAAATTCACCAACAAGATATGATTCCCATCATAATACATTCCATTTTTTTTCGTATCATATAAAACAGCATAGATTAATCTTCTGTGTTTTTATGATTGACCAAGTCTAATTAAAATCAAGCAATTTTGCTTAATATATTTTTAAATAAAAAGATTTAACCCATTAACCAATGATATATATATATTTCAAAGTGTTCTATTTATCGAATGTTTGACCTTAATTGTTATTGCTTTCCAGAAAATGAAATATGTTAGTCTGATGAGGTGATTTATTGTTTTACATCTTAAAAATTTCATTTACATTACACAATTTTCCTTAATTCACATGTTGAACTACTGCTAATTAATATCATAAAATCTAATTCGTATAAGGAAGGTTCTTTCTAAATGTCATTTTACATCCATCACTTTTAGTCATGTGATGTTGTCGTTTTGGTGTTGTGTTTGACGTTGCCATAAAAGCGGGAGGTTTGGCATGCCACAAAGCCAAGGTCAACCCACCATTTTTTTTTGAAAAATGTCCTGTACCAAGTCAGGAAAATGGCCATTGTTATATTATAGTTCGTTTCTGTGTGTGTTACATTTTAATGTTGTGTTTTTGTTGTGTCGTTGTTCTCCTCTTATATTTATTGCGTTTCCCTCAGTTTTAGTTTGTAACCCGGATTTGTTTTTATCTCTATCGATTTATGAGTTTCGAACAGCGGTATACTACTGTTGTCTTTATTTAGAATAAACATTATAATTCATTCTATGATGTATAATCAAATGCTTTTTTACACCTAATTAGATTATATTTTATGATAGTTTTAGACTGATACCTCAGACTTTATTTAACGTCAGCAGCAAGTTGATGAACTAGGGTTATGTTCGAGAACGTCTCGTCTCTTTTAAAAAAAAAATCACCAGAAGATAACAAGACCTTGATGACAAATATTTCGTATCAACTTCACAAATGATACATGATGGTCTTGAAGTATAGAATTTAGGTACTGACGTTATTTATCATCTTAATTACGTGTTATATTGTTGAATGACTATTTCCCTGCCTAGATAAGTTTTTTTGGGATGGAAAGACCTTCAATTATTCTCTGAACAATTGGTTTTTCATGATTTTTTTTTTCTTCCGCCTAAGTTTTTTCTTCCGCAGTATTGTTGTTTCCAAAGTTGTGGCTTAGATATTTGGTATATAATATCGAACAGTTTATACATTTTTAAATCTGACACTGTTTAACCGAACCCTTTACTTTGTAAGAGTTATTTCCCCGAACACTGTTTTTTTTTTTTGTTCGGACTTCGCCTTCGCAACCGTAAAATATTATGACAAATTTATTTTACCATATTGCACGTTATATCCTAAGGGTGTGGAGAATAATTGTGGCCGTAGAAATCCAGAGACTCCATATGAGAGTTATTTCCCCTTATGCATGTGATATATATAAAGATAAGTAAGGAAGTGAGTAAGAAAGTAAGTAAATGTTATTTCAAGTCGGCATATATCATGTATATATAAATACTAACAGATAAAACAGGAGCTCTGGTGAGCTCTTTATCCGACTATCATATACAAATCTTAGAGCTTCATGCAAATACTAATAAATAAAAAACAAATCCAAATATAATGAAAGCAAATTAATTTTGATTTCTGAATCTCCTGGGTCAATTCTCATGCGTCAAACACTTCTATGTGCATTGAATGAGGGAACCAGCAATCAATTACATATCATTAAATACTATAAAAATAAAAAGCATAAATAAATTAAGCACTGCCATTTAATAGCAGCTATATACTAGTGCATAAAAAAGCAAGGCAAAAGGCCAGAAAGGAAAAAAAAAAGAAAAGAAAGACATTTTAGCTATGAGGCAGCACTGGATGGAAACGGTATGAACAGCAGTTGCATTTGTGACCCCACACCAGCAATTTATATAATTCCTAAATAGGTAAAAAGAGAACATAGTTCTAGCCTCATTGGGAAGGCATTCCATAGATGTGCTGCCTCAAATCTAAAAGATCTTTTACCATAACTTGAGATTCTAGATCTAGGTACCTTAGCAGTGTTCACATACCTGAAATTATTTGAATTGTTTTTTTTTACAACAACTAGATCTTGAAAAGACATTTTTTATTAATTATTTGAAAGATCTCCAAGGCATTAGAGCGTATTGTACTAGTTTTTAGTGATGGAAGGTTTGACATCTGCAGTAGTGTTTCGTACGAGTTCTGATGGTCTTCATAAATAAAACAAAGCGATGGCTCTTTTATTTTTTCTATTTTTATTGTATTTTGTTCCCAAAAGAAATGCCAAGTCAAAGGGCAGTAACTAAAGTTTGACATAACGAATGAGTAATACATTCTAATTTTACTCAGTTTGTTTAGGTGTTTCCCAATTCTTTTCAAAATGTTTAATTGCCTTGCAGCCTTTTTACAAATATTTGAAATATATAAATAGAAGTTCAATTTTAAATCAATTGTAACTCCAAGTAGTTTTACCTCATCCTCACATGATATAGAAATACCATTCAAATCAAACACAAGCGTGTTATCATGTGTGTTTTTGCCAATAGAGATAACTTGAAATGACTCTAGGTTGGCCTGCATTTTATTTGAAGAAACCCACTGTATTAAATAATTGCTGTCTTCCTCAAGTGCAGAAATTATATCTTGTAAGGAATTTTCAAACTTTAAGAAAGTATTGTCATCAGCATAAGTATATAAAGAACATTTTTTTAACAAAAAAGAACAAATCACTTATAAAAATATTTAATAGGATGGGTCCAAGGATGGAACCTGTTGGTACCCCTTTAAATATGTCAAGCATACCACTTAAATTTTTGTTTAATTTCACACACTGTTTTCTTTTTGTTAAATAACTATATAACATATCAAGTGAGGATTTTGAAACACCATAAGCTTTTAGTTTCAGTAGCAGTAAGTCACAGGGGTGACAGTCAAAAGTTTTTGACAAGTCCATCAGCATAGCTGCAAAGTATTTATGTTGGTCTAAGGCTAATTTCCAATCTTCAATCACTCTTATTAAAGTTGACTGAAATCCAAATCCTGATCTAAAAGCTGCCAAAAATGGATTGAAGATATTATTAAAGTACTGTACTAATTGTACTTCTATGGCATTTTCTAAAATTTGAGAAATGGCCGGTAACATACTTTCCAGTCTATACTTTCCTTTTTTCTCATACACTATTCTTTTTTGTAAATAGGTGCAACTTGAGCTTCATAAAGATGCTCAGGGAATGTTGATGACGATAATGATAAATTAACTATATCTGTAAGAGGTTTTACAATAGCAGGTTTAGGAAAATGTAGTAATTTGGGTGACATACCATCTATTCCAGTGGCTTTTTTAACATTAATTGTATGTACACGTTCCTCAACAAAGTCTTGATCAATAGGGGAACAGGTAAAACTGTTTTTGTTAAGATCGTAAAGATTATCTTTAATGGTCAAAATATTCGGGTGAACATCATCATCCTTTATTTGATTGCTTCCATTAGTCTTGTCAAAATTTACAAAATAGTTGTTATCTTGTTTTGTAATTGAAACATTATTTTTAGAGAGGACAGTTTCCTTTTGGTGTACATTACCTTTATTTGTAAGAAAAGGTTTCACTGTTGGCCAGAAATCTTTAGATTTAGGGCCCCAAGCACAAAATATTGGTTAATAGACTTATTTTTTTTTAGTTTTGTAACATAGTTGCGTTGACGTCTATATGCTTCCCAGTTCTTACTATCACTAATTTTTTGAAATTTATTATACATCAATTTTTTTTCTATAAATGGCACATTTTAGCTCTGCATTCATATATGGTACCTGATTTGGAAACATTTTTCTTTCCTTCAAAGGTGCATGTTTGTCACTACCTCAATGGAACGTTTACTAAAATGATCATATGCTGCATTTACATTATTAAATTCAGATATATCAACATTCTGATTTTCGAAATCTTTTTAAAAATTTGATGCATCAACATTCTTAAAACTACTGCATATCTTCTTTTTGGTAAAATGTTTGGTAAATCACAATTTAGCTGCACAGATATAAAGTTGTGCACATCATTAATTTCTGTACCAAAATTACATAGATATAAGAAGATGTGGTATGAGTGCCAATGAGACAACTATCCATCCAAGTCACAATTAGTAAAAGTAAACCATTATAGGTCAAAGTACGGCCTTCAACACGGAGCCTTGGCACACACCGAGCAGCAAGCTATAAAAGGCTCCAAAAATGACTAGTGTAAAACCATTCAAACAGGAAAACCAAAAGTCTAATCTATATATAAAAAAAACGAGAAACGAGAAACACTAATGAACCACATCAACAAACGACAACTACTGAACATCAGGTTCCTGATTTAGGACTGGTGCAAACAAATGCAGCAGATTTCAACGTTTTAATAGGCGCCAACCTTCACCCTAACCTGAAACAATAATGTAACATCACGACATATTAAGACACACTATAAAATATCAATTGAAATATCAGAAAGACAACCATAAATGTGGACACAATGCCGCCAAATAAAATAACGTACACAGGTAAATACAAATAATTTTGTTGTAAGGTATACAAGGTGTACGGAAATATTTTTTAAAAAATAAATAATTTTGTTGGTCATAGTACAAGAACAGAAGTGAACATTTATCGTCATACCAAACACTTATCAAAGGTGGTATATATTAAAAATAGTGAGACGAAATATAACACTAAATAAGTAAACATTAAATAACAAAAATGCATTCCGAATTGTATCTGTTATATATTTATCGTGGTTTGCAGTGATGACTATTTCATAAGAGTATACATGTTTATATAAGTACAATCTACACACACAATGATTTAATTTGCAATACATCAGTATATATAAAACCAAGAGTAATGTAATGCCATGGGAAAAAAACGCCCATAAAACCTAACAGAATACTGAAGCTGTGAACTATGATAAGAAATAAGATCAGAATAATAATCTATTGACAGAAACATCCGCTAATCTGATGATTATAAATTCCTAACTGTCAGTATTAATTATAAGCCAATTAAACTATAGTGATAATGTATCATGTAAACATAACAGTATCAACAGGTCAAATTAACACAAAAGTACGATTTAATTCTATGTATGTTGGCGTTTGTTTTTGTTGCACTTCTGTGTTCCTGTTGTTCTTTTGTTTTCCTCTTATAGTTGATGTGTTCCCTCGGTTTAAGGTTGTAACCCAGATTTGTTTTTTATCAATCGATTTATGACTTTTGAACAGCGGTATACTATTGTTTCCTTTATTGAGAGTACTCGCAGTTACTGAAACATAGTTAAAAGTCAAAAACAATTACTAATAAAAAATCATGCATCAGAGAATAAAATCAACTAAAACACATCCTAAGGATTAAGTATGTTAACGTCATGGACAGTCAAAGAAGACATGACTCGTACAATGCCAAAGTAAACGTATCGACAGGCAGTAGGATAGTTAGGAGTTGTCGACTTCTTCTTATTTGCATATGAGTCGGAGTTCCTTCAATCACTTGTCAAAAATAAGAAGATAAAAAGCTAGATCATGAATTTCACATTCAGATATTTTGAGAATGTTCTTTCAATAAACAATCCAAACTTTTCTGATTGGGTTCCATTAATAGATTCTCCAGAACTAGAAATTAAAGAAACAACAGACACGGCTTCCTTCGTCTCATTTTTAGACTCATACATCGAATTTGACATCAGCGGTCATCTCAGTACAAGAAACTATGACAAACTCTCAAAATTTTGTGTTCTCAAATCATTTCTACGAGTTTTTTTTTTTAAACCAACGTAAAATACTATGAACATTGCAACCTATTTATTTCAGGCTGGTGACACTATTTTACACTCAGCTGCTAGAGGTGGACACCTCAACATACTTCAGTTGTTATCAGAAAGAACAACAATCGATCCAAATAGAGAAAATAAGGTATTGAATGAGGTTCTTTTCAGGATTGTCCGACTTTGTTAAATTGTCCATCAAAATCAAAATCAACACAATGTTGCTTATCAAATCAATACACATCTATGCAAAATACTAGATATCAGAGGGGTAAAAGCAATTATATTCAGACAACTACAACAACAAAAAAATACTAAGACAAACGTCATTCATGAAGTCAGGTATATACAGCCACTACGTATTTGATTAAAGTCTAAAGTTGGTAACCCTGCATAACTGAAGATGTAATACTGTTGCAAAAAAAAAAAAAAAAAAAAAAAAAAAAAAATGAACACAACAAATTAAATTATACGAAACTGAACATATGATACAGATTAAAAAAACAAGTCCTATCATATATTAGCAAATGCTTTTTGAATAAAAAAAAACCAAACAAACAAACACAAAAACTCGTTAATTTCGTTTTCTTTTGTAGTCTGTAGAACAGCATATATTAATTAGCTGTTTCTTATAATTGCACGAGTCTGATCAAAATCAATCAATTAGGCTCAACTTGTTTTTTTAAATTCAAAAACAAAAACGAGCAATAACTCATACATTAGTTATATATATATATATATATATATATATATATATATATATATAAGTCTAGAGATTTGCACAACGATACTAATATAAGATGGTATTATACGAAGATGTTGTTAATAAATCGTGTTGACAAATATTTCGGCTTAACAAATAGCCTTCTTCGGTGTCAATTATTTTAACAATACTGATAATATGTATAAAAATAGCTCAATAATACAGGTAAGTTTTGGTCTATTGATCTAATCCAAAATCCTGAACATCATAACATAAAACAAAACTCAATACTCAAATATACGTGACTGTGTATATTTACAACCCAAAATGAGTGAACAATAAAACTTAGTATTTTTTATTGATGCCGTTTGGATGATGTACATTTAGTTCCTTTATCCAAAAGCTTTCCCGAACCTGTCGCTGGGCATCACTCCAGTGAATGTTCTGTTCAATCACTAGGATCTTCATGCGGTTAAAGTCATCAAGTGTGTGGCCAGACTGTCTGAAATGCTGAGAAACTGGGAAAAGTGGCTTCTTAGAGATATCACTCCTATGGCCATTGAGGCGTTTGTGGAAAGGCTGCTTTGACTCACCAACATATTGGAGGCCACAAACCGAACATTCTAGAATGTAAATAACATTCATACTTTTGCAGTTAACATTGCAAAATATCTTATAGTTATTTTCGGTTGCCTTACTGTGAAAAGTTGATGAGTGATGCATCTGTAGGCAGCATTTGCAGCGTTTTTCATCACACGAACGACATTCTCCAGAAGTACTTCTATTATCAGACACTTCAGCCCGCACCAGCAGGTTACGCAGACTATTGGGTTGCCTAAACGCTATCATGGGAGGCTCGGGAAAAATCTTGGATAGTTTGGAATTCTTTTCAACTGTTTTCCAATGCTCACGAATGACACCGAAGCTGTTTTTGAGAGATGGGTGGTAAGTAAGAACACATGTAGTCCTTTTATTTTTCTTTTTATATTTGTATTCTAACAGTTTACTCCTTGGAATAGTTTCCGCTTTCTGAAAGCCTTTTTGGATAGTTTTGTGTTTGTAGCCCCTTCTCTTCAAGCGGGTTTCGAGTTGACGTAGTTGTTTTTTTGTTGTTTCTGAGTTGGAACATATTCGCTTGACTCTGAGTGCCTGACTGTACGGGATGCTCTTAGTACAATGAGCAGGATGGCAACTTTTAGGGGACAGATATTGGTGAGTGTCAGTAGGCTTAGAATATAGATCAGTGGATATGATGCCATCTGTGAGCGAGCTGGAGGTATCGAGGAAGGTGATTTTGGATTTAGATTTCTCATGAGTAAATTTGATACTTGGATGTATGTTGTTGGCATGAGTGATGAATGTATCTAAATCCTCGTCACTTTTATTCCATTTCATATCCACATCATCTATAAATCTAAACCAGGAAAGCGGTTTTTCGATGGAAGATTCAAGGAGTTGTTTTTCTAATTTGCCCATAAATATGTTGGCATATGATGGAGCCATTTTGGTGCCCATAGCAGTTCCATTAACTTGCAGATAATGGTCTCCATCAAAAGTGAAGTTGTTGTTTTTGAGTACCAGCGTGAGCATTTTGACCAGGCATTCAGTAGGTTAATGGAACTGCTATGGGCACCAAAATGGCTCCATCATATGCCAACATATTTATGGGCAAATTAGAAAAACAACTCCTTGAATCTTCCATCGAAAAACCGCTTTCCTGGTTTAGATTTATAGATGATGTGGATATGAAATGGAATAAAAGTGACGAGGATTTAGATACATTCATCACTCATGCCAACAACATACATCCAAGTATCAAATTTACTCATGAGAAATCTAAATCCAAAATCACCTTCCTCGATACCTCCAGCTCGCTCACAGATGGCATCATATCCACTGATCTATATTCTAAGCCTACTGACACTCACCAATATCTGTCCCCTAAAAGTTGCCATCCTGCTCATTGTACTAAGAGCATCCCGTACAGTCAGGCACTCAGAGTCAAGCGAATATGTTCCAACTCAGAAACAACAAAAAAACAACTACGTCAACTCGAAACCCGCTTGAAGAGAAGGGGCTACAAACACAAAACTATCCAAAAAGGCTTTCAGAAAGCGGAAACTATTCCAAGGGGTAAACTGTTAGAATACAAATATAAAAAGAAAAATAAAAGGACTCCATGTGTTCTTACTTACCACCCATCTCTCAAAAACAGCTTCGGTGTCATTCGTGAGCATTGGAAAACAGTTGAAAAGAATTCAAAACTATCCAAGATTTTTCCCGAGCCTCCCATGATAGCTTTTAGGCAACCCAATAGTCTGCGTAACCTGCTGGTGCGGGCTGAAGTGTCTGATAATAGAAGTACTTCTGGAGAATGTCGTTCGTGTGATGAAAAACGCTGCAAATGCTGCCTACAGATGCATCACTCATCAACTTTTCACAGTAAGGCAACCGAAAATAACTATAAGATATTTTGCAATGTTAACTGCAAAAGTATGAATGTTATTTACATTCTAGAATGTTCGGTTTGTGGCCTCCAATATGTTGGTGAGTCAAAGCAGCCTTTCCACAAACGCCTCAATGGCCATAGGAGTGATATCTCTAAGAAGCCACTTCTCCCAGTTTCTCAGCATTTCAGACAGTCTGGTCACACACTTGATGACTTTAACCGCATGAAGATCCTAGTGATTGAACAGAACATTCACTGGAGTGATGCCCAGCGACAGGTTCGGGAAAGCTTTTGGATAAAGGAACTAAATGTACATCATCCAAACGGCATCAATAAAAAATACTAAGTTTTATTGTTCACTCATTTTGGGTTGTAAATATACACAGTCACGTATATTTGAGTATTGAGTTTTGTTTTATATTATGATGTTCAGGATTTTGGATTAAATCAATAGACCAAAACTTACCTGTATTATTGAGCTATTTTTATACATATTATCAGTATTGTTAAAATAATTGACACCGAAGAAGGCTATTTGTTAAGCCGAAATATTTGTCAACACGATTTATTAACAACATCTTCGTATAATACCATCTTATATTAGTATCGTTGTGCAAATCTCTAGACTTATATAATTTTTTCCTTATCTGCACAGTATCGTCTATTCTAGACGATCCGGTACATAGTAAATTTGCTGGTTGGTCCTTTTTATAGACTTCTATATTATTTTCCTCTGAATGACCTGTATTATGTTATTCACATAATCCCAGTGAATTTAAGTTTTCAGCTCTTATATCATGAACATCAATGATTATTTTAAACAACTTAGAGCTATTAAACAAAAACAAATTAGAACTGAACACCACTTATCTAATTTAACCCATTATGTGTATAATGAAAGTATTCCTAACGGACTACAAATCAAGCTTATGCCACAAACACCTGGCAATTTATCCAACACATTACTTCGCAAATGGGATCAAACCCTCTACCATTGTTCCAAGCGGTTAATGGTCCTCCTCAAACAACACTGCGAAGAATATCTGAAAACTCTTACTGGCGAATTTAACACCCTTTCAAATCGCTGCAAAAAAGATCTCACATCTGACAATTGTGATGCTATCAGTGCTCGCCTTAAAGACATAACAACCATACAATCTCAAAATTTGAGTGAAAGGCAGAAAAGAAAATTCCGTAGGGATGGCATCGAACATATCAATCCTTCTTTACCATCTGAAAAAAAGAGAAAACGAGTAAGGCGCTTTAAACGTAGGTCATTAGAGACTGATTCGCCCTCCAACATTGTGGTCAATCTTTCCAAACACCAGTTAACGGAAGCTGAAACATCTCTTCTCTCGAGAGGCTTAAATTTCTGTCCTTTACCTACCCCTGTCAATGAAACTAAATTGTCGGAAGACCTTGACAATTTTGCCAGAAGTCTACGCATTAAGGAATATTTCGCGTCGAAGGAGAACAACAACAGATGCTCGGATAGCGACTCAGAAATTTCAGAAGACGAAAACAACTACAAATTTATAAAAAACAGTACTTGGATCCCTAAACCGAGCAAAAATGCCACCTTGGAATCATTTATTGACAATTTTAAGTCGGACATTATTAGAAATACTAGAAATAACAATAAACCTTTTGACAATCTTACCAATGAAGAACGAACTGCACTGAAAAACTTACGATCTAACGACAATATCGTCATTAAACCTGCAGACAAAGGCAGTGAAGTGGTTGTCATGGATAAATCTGCCTATATTCAAGAGGCTGAACGACAACTTGGCGATGCAAGGTTCTACCAAAAACTAGACTCTGATCCTACTACATCTTTTAGCAGAGAAATAACTGATAGTTTGGTAGAAATGCACAACGATGGTTTCATCGATGAAAAGACTCTAGAATATCTGAAACCAGAAAATCCAAAACCGGGCAGATTTTATCTTTTACCTAAAATTCATAAGGCCAATAACCCAGGAAGACCTATAGTTTCAGCGAACGGTCATCCGACGGAAAAAATATCGGAATTCGTCGACTTCCATCTTCGTCAACATGTTGAGGACTTACCATCTCACATCAAAGATACTACCGATTATCTTAGAAAATTGCAGGCCTTAAATCCACTCCCCTCCGACACGACACTTGTCTCTATGGACGTCACCTCCCTCTACACGAATATTCCACATGCAGATGGCATTGATGCATGTAAAGAAGTTTGGAATTCCCGACCAGTGAAATATCCACCTACTGAATGCCTGGTCAAAATGCTCACGCTGGTACTCAAAAACAACAACTTCACTTTTGATGGAGACCATTATCTGCAAGTTAATGGAACTGCTATGGGCACCAAAATGGCTCCATCATATGCCAACATATTTATGGGCAAATTAGAAAAACAACTCCTTGAATCTTCCATCGAAAAACCGCTTTCCTGGTTTAGATTTATAGATGATGTGGATATGAAATGGAATAAAAGTGACGAGGA